GTTATGTCCATGGTACTGCTCATGTCTATAGGCGACGGTTACCATTTTCCATCAGGTGGGCTGTCGGCTTGTTTGCCTTTCTAAGTTGTATAAAAAAATTAACATATGACCCCAACGTTACCAGATTTCGGTAAGTTTTGACATGAACCCTCTTAACAACTGAAGTAATGATGAAGTCAGCGATCTTTTTTCAATGGGTGATAATATAATGGTAACCCCGCCCGCGCTATTGGTATACGCTGGCGAGGCACCAGTGAGCGATGATAGATGACGATGAAAGCAGGTCAGTTAGCCCATCGTGACGAATTGCACTAGAATCAACCACGATAGTTTCCAGGGGGAACCACGTGGAGGTCGACCTGATACATGCCAGATTACACCCTGTATTGCTGGATCAGTTGGACTTCATTACTAACAATCCCTAAAGTCAGGGATTATCATCATATTAGCTTTTGATTATCCACTGTTGAACATAAACCTCCCCCTTGGGGGGTTTTGTCAGTAGTTATTACGCTTTGAAGGCAGATTAGCAGCCACAGATACCACAGACAAGTTTTAGAAATGTTTTAAGAGGGACGCTGCTCGCTATCCCCCGCCCTCCCTTAGTCGCCTTTTACTACACCCACGAGAAAGGAAGGGGTGGCCTATTCTATGCCGGGACCACACGGGAAGTCAGTAATTATACCACTTTATAATATTAGACCAGATTAGATAGAAGATATCCGTATAAAGTAGGACATGTGCAATAGTCGAATGACAATGCTATTGTGCACGGACCTTGAGACTGGCGGCTGCGAGCGAGCGAGCGCGGCCGGGGCGTGCGTGATAGCTCGCCTGTACCATTGTCGCACATTAGCCTATTTATAAACCCTTCATAACAGTACTGGTCCCGCGGCTACAGCAGGCTGAGTCAAGCGGCTGAAATCGCGGCTCGCATTACAACATAGTCATATTTGTTGCGAGATATATTAATAATAATATATAATAATATTATTTCTTTATTACAGATCATTAATATCCATTTTTGTTATGACAATTGACTTAAACTATGTTAGTAGAAAAAAAAATACAAAACAAATCATTTTATGGCCCCTATAATAATTTTGCCACACAATGAGAGAATCGGGCTATCGTATTTATTACACAATACCCACAAAATGCTGTTACTGCTACACACAGTGGCATAGGAAGTAGTGAGTGGGCAGTAGTAGTGCTAAACAGAGGTTAAAATAAATATTTACATCAATTATAAATCATTATATATATATATATATGAAAGATACAATATTAATACATACATATAAATATAAACCTACAAATAAGAATATATATATACATATATATATATATATATATATATATATATATATATATATATATATATATATATATATATATATATATATATATATGAAACAATGTCAAAGTAATTGATTGCTATATTATCCAATTTAGTGATGAATCGTTATTACCGAAATCTAAATAGTATTTCGATGAATGATTACACTGTGACCAGTAAATTAACTTTTAACTGTAATTAACTACGTATTAAAAATATAAGCAAGTATAAATGTGATTACTTTAATGTATATAGTATACAAAATCTCATTCCTTTATTCAAATACTCTCTCTCTCAAAATTTCATATTTTTCAAAGGCATTGTAAGGAGTCAGTGGATGCAGGTGGCTCAGGACAGTTCCTTATGGTAGTTTATGGGGGAGGTCTATGTTCAGCACTCACGCACGCACACACTAGCTATATACTACACACTGGATATATCCTGCTTTCATAGGGTGTAACCCATTTCCAGCAATTGTACTGAATGGATTGATAAATCAAGGTAATTTATAAAGACAAAGTTACCGTTTTTCATTAACCTTTAGGTATATAACATTTTATATATATAAAAAAAAACATATTCTCTACTTAATAAAATTGACTAAAATAAAATTTTACTGCACGTCTTATTTTTTGCAATATAATTGGATTAAAACAATAATTGAGCATTACATTTTTATAGCTGCTGGTCGACGCTGCGAAACGGAACTTGGCTGAGTGCAGACATTGTGCCAGTGTCACTCTATAAACACATTCAGTAATATCGAATTAATATACGAGCTACATACGATACATATGTGTTGTCCAGAACCTTGTTAGAAATGTTAGACAGTAGTGGTACATAAAGAATATAATAGAAGAGATAAAAACAATATAATTATTTTTTCATTTAGAGTTTATTCTCGTCGGGTCCCTTATTAATGGAGTACTTGTATAAAAGGATGCATTTTTCTATTAGTAATGTAATATATTTTAGACTGAATTATGATAATAAATATGGTAAATTTTCAATAATTACAAGATGGAACGGTTTGCAGGCAACCGCACTAAATTCAAAGATATTTGTAATTTTTTTAAAAGATTGATTTTTATGTTTCATTTTTTTATATATTATGCGATTAACATTTATGTTTTAAAGACTAAAACGGCCGTTTTTGTTCCCAGATTAAAATGCTGCTGCTTTTGTATAGTTTATATGCTTTTCTAATATCGAATAACGTTGGAATTAATAGTGCACCCGAGATCAATGATCACACAGTTAACTTTATTGGATTCCGAATGTCTTTTTTATACCACAAAGGTGGCAAACAAACATAGAGCACGCCTGTGTGGTATACAACCTCTGTAGTCTATGGATGCCTGCAACATTGGGGGTATCACGTGTGCGTCGCCGACCCTGAGGAAACCTTAATATACCCTTTTTTACTGAGTCTTTAGGGAAAACCTCAGCAGGGAGCTCATTTCTCATTCTCGAAGGTAGTACCTTAATAGTAGTATTGTGTGCCCTTGTACAGTGATCCCTTTACTCACATAACTTTAGAAATTCCTGGTCTAAAGTCTGAAAATAGTTAGCAGTTGAAAATAAGCAGGTCATTTTCAGTACGTGCCACCCCTGTCCAATTACGGTGAACCCTTCAACCGTGCTTTCAACTTCCACAAGAGAACCGATGTTCTCGAAATATAGAAGTATATCTTCTATAAAATACTTTCTTGTATATCCACTTTTTTGAATACTCGAACTAAAAAAATGTTTACCAAAATTAGTAAATCTAAAAATCGTATATTTCACATTGATCGATATACTCACTGACCATTGGATTGCTTTTGATGACTTATTGCTTATATTGAAGATTAATGAACAAGATATTAAGGTAATATTACGACATCACGTGTTTAGAGGCGCAACTAAACCAATTCGTCAAATTACTAAACTAGTAAATGATGTAAAGGTCGAAACCCAAGATCGAATCTCTGTTAAAATTGCTCTCTAGCGGACCAATATCTATATAAGATTTTACAATATATACGAGATTAAATTTCACTGGTTAGTTGATAGATAGAGACAGGTGAACTAAGATTAGCGGAATTAAACAAAATACTTCTATATTTTGTTTAATTCCGCTACCATTAGTTCGCGGTTGGCAGTCGCATGCGTACGAGTATCACACACCTGCCGACCAAAATGATATTGTTACCATCTGCAATTATTTATACGGATCTTTGAAACCCCAATCTATTAATCAGTTAGATAGATCACTTTTCGTTTCTACTTATGCATCTGTCTGGATGTTACAGCTTTAGCAGATTCCTAAACTGACTGACTGGCATCTAAATTTGATCGTATAATGTGATATGTAATATATTCAGACTGCAATCAGAACACGATTTGAAAGCTTGCGTTTTGATAAACAAGTCGGAGCGACCAGAACGAGATAACGTTATCAACATACACTCTTAGGACAACCTGTTGCATATACAAAGTCAGTATGCATGCATATGCATGTTGATTTCGAGCCAAGCGACCGGCGAGTAATAGACTTATGTATATTTTACAGTATAGTATTAGTATATCCCACAAATAAATGCGTATATCACAGGCTATGCAAACATCTCAGCTCCATCTATTGGGTGAAATCGAAAAGATTATCATCCATTTTAAAGAGAGTTCTAACAGAGAAATTTTACATTTTTTCCAAAGAAAAATGGGCCTGTATAAAAAAAAATGCTTAAAAAATTTTGAACATTTCATACAGGTCAATCTCTCAAGTCAGGAGAAATTTTGATATTATTTCTTGTTTTTCGACCCATATTTCTGTAAAAAAGAAATCAATTTTACTGATATTATTCTTCAAAAATTTACTCTGTGAATTATAAAAAAATATATGACTATCTAAAGTAGTGTAGTAGTTGAACAAGCGTAGCCGTGGACTACAGCTAAAATACAATACGACCGAGCGAGACATATAAAGTTGCTGTTTTCACAGGCACACGATAGCCGCGTGAGCTTTCAAGTGGTGAGGTCAGCCTGGTGAGGACGACACGGCCGGCGACCGTGCGACGAACGCGCGAATTTTAGCGTTCACCAGACAAATTCAATTACAATGAAGGCTGAAGTCGTTCATAGGTTGTTGCCATTGAAAATTGTTTCTGCGAATCGCCGCAGGTTGTAATTATTGTAGTGGCTGTGTCTAATCCCAAGACCACGATATCTCCGTGAACTTTGCCTTCTTTCATTGTCCAGCAATGCGACAATAGTACTTACTACCTACTGTATGTACGAATAGTGTACTGCGTAAATAAGCTTCCGGATTCGTTCTCAGTCTGGATAAGTTTAGTATTTATATATATACAGGAGTTTAAAGAATATAATAAAGATAGACTTAATATTTCCCTAAAGATAGATTTTATAAAAACCAAAAAAATAAACATTGAATACTTATTTACTATTAATTTTTTTTAAAACAATAATGATCCAAATTATACTGGTACTAGTAAATATCTTAAGTTACAATGAATAATTTAAAGTATTATATTAACTATAGTTACAAATAACCATCAATTATCTATACAAGGCAGAGAAAAATGTTAATTACGAATCCAAAAGAACACACTCACATACACGCGATATAATTACGTATACACAACTTTTTGTTTCATCTCATTCATGTACGCAGCCGACACGCGGCGAAGATAACATTATCAACAGCTTTCGTCTCATCTTGCTCGTTAATCAAATCATCAATGACAATCTAGATGTAGTGTTCGGGTCTCGAATGATCAATGCAGATAGTCACAATATCCGACATGTTGTAACGCGTGTACTGTTTGCAAATTATCGGCGGATGTGGTCGTCACGTCGCCACGTATTGAGATTACAGACGTTCTCACACACGTCAATAACAGTTATAAATTACGTTTTATTACGAGGGCGACCTCAACAGCTCTCGAAATTTATGTCTAAGCGTCCTTACAACGTGCACTCGCAGCGCTATTAAAATAATTGCTCACACTTGAGCTTAACACCGAGCTTTGTAACGAAACAATAGGCGCTCCATATGAATACTATGCATTTATTACCAGTCTCTCATACATGATCTATATAATACAAATAAATCATTAGATGTGTTGCTTTAGTGCAAAATTTGAGAACAACTGCAGCAATTTAGCATTTTTTGTTTTTATATTTGTTAAAGTCCGAGGAAAGTTCGTATGAAGAAAAAAGTAAAATAAATTTCTTGAAAATATGTACAAATATACAAACTGCATCTAAATGCAGTTTAATTTTTGACAGAACAACGTTACGGTCGGGGCAGCTAATCAAATAGATGTATATTAGTTTAGAAGGTAGATATATGAAGACTGGGATATGACAATGAAATTACAGGGTACAGAGGCATGATACCTTGTCTTTAGAAATGGCAATGTATGAATAGTGCACGATACAGTATACTTTGTTATGCCCATAGTACTGTTCATGTCAATAAACGACAGTTACCACTCTCCATCAGGTGGGCCGTCAACTTGTTTGCTATTCTAAGTTACATAAAAAAGATACTTATTTGTATTTGCTTATTTTGTAAAGTTTTATTTAATAACTTGTTAATCCACTATTTTGAATGGACATTATTATTACTGGATAGTTTGAAAACATATTTGATGCAAATAAATAAAACGGAAACACTAATAACGGCCAATTATAATTGCCTGTATCATTGACAAATAAGTTATGATACTATTTACTAATATCACGGTCAACAAAGGTTATATATATATATATATATATATATATATATATATATATATATAATTTATTTATATACATTTGTTTAAGTTAAAAGTAGCAGTGGAAGTACATACCTCGTCCTGAAATGTACGGTGCAGTGTTTCCTTCGTGTATTTCTCGTCGTTCTGCTTCAATATGGCAGAACACTGTTTGAGTAGTGACAACCTCATCTTTTCCTTGGCGCACTCCTCCTCCATGAAAGATTTCCTTTGCCCTCCTCTCGGCACCACCAGAAGATCTTTCGACGATTCCATTTTTGTTCCGTCGCCATTTTGTTTAAATGTATCTTCCATTTTGTTACCGTTGCAAGTGTGATTTTTCCCTTCATCTGTATTTGTTACTACTATGTTTTCAGGTTTCTCGTCTGAACATTCGTTTACTTTCTCCAATGCACTTTTATTATCTCTTATTAAAATCGGGGCGTTATCATCTTTCGCCGCCATTTTGTTTTCACTCTTAATGTTTTCTCATCGTTATTTATGTCTGTACACTCACATAATCACTCATCTGTAGCGTCCACAACTATTTGGACATTAGTCATATTATGAAATTATTATAAACCACTACTTTATAAATGGATTTCACTGTATCTAAGACAGATTTAGTTTTTATACAGCTATTTAGTGTCGACGAGGTCGATCAATCTTCTTAAACTGTATGCGATAAGATGGCATGTCTGATTTCTATTTAATAAATGTAATTTGTGTTTAGAAAAGTGTGAGGTCAAGTATACACATATGCAGGTGAGGTCTCGAGTGATAGAATGTGTGAATATTGTCTACTTTGTTTATAAATCCTATTAATATTATACTCGTAAATGCAAGAGTTTGTAATGATGGATGGATTGAGATTTGTAACTTTTTAATGCAAAAATTACGGAACGGATTTAATTGAAACTTGGTACACCGTTGGGTTATATTCTAATTTAAAACATAAAATACTTAAGACAGACTACTGACGAGCAAAATCCTTACTAATATAATATTACACGAGTAAATGTGAAAGTGAATGCGTATTTGTTTGTTACGTCTTCGTAGATCTTCTAAAAATTATAATACTTACTATTATAAAAGTAAAAATGAGTTTGTTTGTCTATTTGTTTAGTATTTCTTAGTGCTTTAACGGCTTAACCAATCATTATTTTTTTATTATGTTTTATTGTTACTCTATTCCCTTTGGCCGCAACAGAATATCAGTGCTTTGCTCTTTTGAGGGCGAAGCAATAAACTGAGTTGTGGCCGTTTTGTATTGCTATGGCACACTCACAAACGAAAATTGTATTTAGCTTTATGTATTTTTTTTTTATCATTTATGTTATCTCGCTTTTTTTTGTATATCTATGTTATAATCTGTGTGCTGTAAGTAAGTAATGCAAATAAATTATCTATCTATCTATTTATCATAATGAAATTTATTATACAATACTATATAATGACACGATGATGATGACTATATGGGATGAAGGAGATAGGTTACTTTTTTTAGCATACCTCTCTAACACGGGCGACGTCGCGGGTAAAAATTAGTACAAACATATTATCAAACAGTACCTACTTAATAAATAATATTTTCTTAATAATTTCAAAAAACAAAAAACGCATCAATCATTTTTATATGACAATAAACGAAAATAAAACAGCAGGTAACTTTTTTTTTGTTCGCGAATCACGCTTTGTTTTTTAAACAAGGAAAACAATAAGCGACATCAAGTTGTATGCTTTTATTTGTATAGATATTTACAGTCATAGTTATTTTTATAAACATACCTATATAATTTTATACAGTAGATATAGTTCTACATACAGTATACACTGAGATATGAATAATATCCGGGCTCTTTAAGAACTGTTGTACTTTAGTAAGCTTACGATACTATTTTGATATCTAACGTAGTGTGAAAATGTTGAATGAATACTAATCAAGGATTGTAAATACTTAATTACCTCGTTTAAATAATAAACAATAGGAAATACTTTTGGACATATTACGCAGCGCCACTTAGTTACAGACTAAGTGGAGCTTGTACTGTGGAGAGATAACTAATTAACAAGGTAACTGATATACATACTAGGTGATTTTATGTAAACATATAGGATATTATACAAAGCATATACTAAGCTCAATATAAACAGACATAAGTACAAATATTTGTATTTATTTATTAATTCTTTATGGCACAATAAAACTTTGTATGGCATTCTCTACCAGCTAACCGTTTTTTTAATAGATGATAATGGAATAGTAACCCCACCCACGCTATCGGTATATACCGGCGGGGCACCAGTGAAGGATGATAGATGAGGATGAAGCAGGTCAGTTAGCCGTGGCGAATTCCACAAGAATTGTTCACGATGGTTTTCAGGGGGAACCACGTGGAGGTCGACCTAATAAGGTATATTGCTAGCAATGAGACTGTCAAACTCCATTGCTAACAATCCCTTTCCCCCCACCTGCTAACCTATTATATATATATATATAGAGTATAGTATAGTATAGTGCGAGGATCAAACCTGCGGCATAGTAAGTTGAGGCGGGTGTTAAATTGTTACACCAATCGTTACAAGGTCGTCAAATGTAATTTGAAGTTACAAAATGTAATTTTCATTTTATAATTACTAAAATTTAAGTAAATAGTTATTTGTTTCTAATATATAGATAACTTGAACACGCAAAAACCATTTTGCAAAGGTCAATGATGGATGGCTTGCGATGTTGGTTAGTTACCTATAATTACACGAGCATAACGAGTCAGGGACAATGAGATTGGAGTATGCCGCGAGGTTTTACAATACATTTACTAATATTACAATTAATAATTATGCCCCACTAATAAGCAACTTCATTGGGACAAAACCAGTTATTTTGATAAAAAACACTAAACTACTGAACTGATTTCGATAAATTTTCTTTGAAACCAGTCTGTAAATATATCCTTTTAGATAAATAGAGAATTTTACAAATCGGTTCAGAACTGGTGGAGTTAAAGGTTAAAAAATACGACCGAATCGAGAATCTCCTTTTTTTGAAGTCGGTTGCAAAGAAAATAGATACATTGTCGAGAAGTACTCAAATAGCATAAAAATTTTAAAGATAGGCAAGATTATACGTAATTTCAGGACCTCAGTTTGTTTTCCAAATAAAATAAAAGTAGTTTAATAATTATATTACTTCATAAAACATAACTAATTTAATTTACGTTATATATATAATAAAATATAACGAATATATATATATATATATATATATTATATATATATATATATATATATATATATATATATATATATATATATAATATATATATACAGTGAGTGTAGAAAGTATTCGTACACCTAGGGTTGTAATAAAAAAAATACGAATTTGATAGACTTTCTTTTATTTATCTAATTTAAATCAATACTATTAAATATTTTAACATTCCCGCACTTTGTTTATGATAATTTTTGATTTTTAATAAAAAAAATTATACAACATAAAAATATTTTTACGTTAACTATGCAAATAATGACAAACAAAAAGTATTCGTACACTTATAAAATTTGTAAGTAAATGAATATTAAAAAAATATTAATACTTTGTTGGACCACCGTTAGCATTGATGATAGCTTGGAGTCTCTGCGGCATCGAATCAACTAGTTTGAAAATATAAGAAGACGGTATCAATGCCCATTCTTCGCGAAGCGCAATTTTTAGTGTTTCTTTACTCGAAATTGGTCGATTTCGAATTTTATTATCGAGATAATCCCACACATGCTCTATAATATTAATATCAGGTGATTGAGGAGAAATCTCTAGGTATTTTGGAGCGTTAAACAGGATCCATGCTTTAGTATTCCATGCTTTATGTTTAGGGTCATTATCTTGTAAAAATATCCAATTATTGTTAAAACCCATTTGAGCTGCACTAAAGAGAAGATTCTCTTTTAAAATATTAATATACGTTTTGTGATCCCTAATTCCATCAATAAATGCAAGTTTTCCCACCCCAAAAGCACTCATGCAACCCCATACAAATACTGACCCACCACCGTGTTTTACCGTTGGACATAAATTTTCTTTCTTATATTCCATATTAGGTTTTCTCCATACCATATGATGTCCATCCGATTTGAAAATATTATATTTCGATTCATCTGAGTAAATAACAGTTTGCCAAAAATGATTTTTTTCATTAATATATTTTTTTGCGAATTCTAATCTTTTTTTTTCTATTAATATCATTTACCCAATACTTTTTACGCGCAATAATCGTTACTACGTAATACGTTCCGAACGGTACTGACAGAAATATGGCAATCATTGATATTATTAATTTCTTGTAACACTCGAGGGGCACTAATTTTTGGATTTTTTTTTTTACACAATTTAAAATTTTCCGATCCAATCGAGGCGTGATTTTTGATGGACGCCCCACCTCTGGGTTTGTTTTTTAGTGTTTTAGTAATAGAAAACCGATCAATTACAGTCTGTACGGTTGAACGTGGTCTATTGACAAATTTTGCAATTTCACATAATGATTTGCATTGATTATGCAAATTAATAATTATTTTTCTCTCCTCTTCACTCGTTTCTTTTGCTTTACGACCCATTTTTGTAACTAAACACGTCTATACTTGTCACGAGTGCAACTAAAACGTCTAATATCTATACCTACGTATTAAAAATGACCTTGGCATTGTAGGCATATGAAAAATTCGATTGAATAAATGATTTATACAGAATTTCATTTAAAAAAGAATGAATGTACGAATACTTTTTGTTTGTCATTATTTGCTTAGTTAACGTAAAAATATTTTTAAGTTGTATAATTTTTTTTTTAAAAACAAAAATTATCATAAACAAAGTGCGGGAATGTTAAACTATTTAACAGTATTGATTTAAATTAAATAAATAGAGGAAAGTCTATCAAATTCGTATTTTTTTTATTATAACCCTAGGTGTACGAATACTTTTTACACTCACTGTATATGGAATATAAAGAATATGGACCAAAGTATAGGTCAGCCTTCTGGTCACCAGAGGTTTCCACCAGCCGGCGTGAAATCTCTTTATATCTCTCTAAAAAATAAAAGTATATTTATTACAGAATATATATAAATATATATGTATATATAATCTCTCGGTATGTACATTGTATACTCTAATAATATTACAATTACTATACTTTGTTTATTTTACAACAAAATAATTTGTTGTTCATAAGTTTATATTACTCATAGGTAAACTTTCCAATAAGTAGTAATAAATTACGCATATTAAATATCGAGTTATAAAAGCTGAGTGTGCAGTATTAAACATAAACTGGTTATTATTGAACTAAATTGGTAATTACTCGTATAGTACATATCTTGTAACTTCAATAACGATTCGGGGTGACGTACTAATAAATTTTATGTTTCTTATAATTATATAATACACCATAAAATGACGAAATAAATATTAAAACAAGAAATTATAACGGCATTGATATATAGCTATGGGTATCAAGCTATACCAATACCCAGCTATATAGCGGCTACGCAAAGAATAGCCGCGGCTAGCGACAGATATCGTCGAGATAGACAGCTATTGGTTATAGCCGACTATATACCTAACACAATAATGACTACAAAGCAGTTTGTTAAATAAAAAAATAAAAAAAAAATCGCTTTATCTATCATATATTGCTGCGTTGAGAATCGAACCCAATGTGGTGTGACTTGGCAGTTATTCAACTAAATAGCTAACGTTAAGCATCTCGCTATTGGGTCGATTATAATGAACCCTTCAAAAAAAGGATCTCTGTTTACAAACTAAAGCGTTAATCATGCAATATTAATATTAATTTGTCTCCATAAATTTGGATTTTGATGGCCTATAGGTATTTGAAACATTCTAAAACAAAATGTGAAAGTACGTGCAAAGTTTTTATTAGTAGATTTATATACAATGTATTCTGTGATGAAAATTTTAGTTGAAAGGCAAAGCACTTTATAAATAATTTATCAGATACACTGAAAATTAACCGTGTGGTCCCGGCATAGAATAGGCCACTCCTTTCTATCCCGTGAGTGTCGTGAAAGCCGACTAAGAGAGGGATAGGGATGGGCAGCAGCTGACCTGACTGCGATTTCTAATCCGCCTGCCAAGCGTCGCAACCATTGATCGATCCCCCAAGGGGAAGGCTTATGTTCAGCAGTGGACAGTTAAAGGCTGGTACGATGATGACGATGACTGGTAATTAACATATTTAATTGTTTTTGAGAATTGTTTAACACTTGTTTGACAATTGTGACTTGCCGTACTTTATTTTATCCTAATTCGAGAGTAAAACTAAAAGCTAGTAAACTAGCAATTATTGTTATAGGATGGTTTATTCATATAATATGTAGGAAATATATTACCATAATATACAATAACAAGGTGTAATAATAGCGATGCGCTTCCTGGACGCGGCCACATGCGCCCACGCCACGAGCAATGCATTTTAAATGTAAATTAACACTAGTCCGCTCATCTCATAACAATCTATATAATATATTGTAATCGAACAAGCACTAGCCACTGTGTATATGTAGAAAATATTGAAGATATATAGATAGATAGATATATAGTATATTTGCATTACTTACAGCATACATACAATAAGAGACGTAGGTACGTATATAAAAAAAGAATATATATATGCAAAAAACTACATAAAAGAAGTAACATAATATGTCATGTCTATAGGCCACGTTTACCACTTTTTTTTTATGAAAATGGAATGGTAACCCCGTCTGCGCTAACCAATGAAGGGTGATAGATGAGAATGAAAACAGGCCAGTTAGCCCATCATGATGAATTCATCAGGAATTAACCATGATAGTTTCCAGGAGGGACCCCGAGGAGGTCGACCTGGTTGGGTATATTGCTAGCAATGGGATTCTCAGTCTCCATTACTAACAATCCCTTTCCCCCACGGGTACCACTTTCCATCAGGTGGGCCGTCAACTTGTTTGCCATTCTAAGTTGTATAAAAAACATTTTTCCTTTCGTGCCTTACCATTTGTATTTCTTCGTGTTACTACAGTACACGTTAACACGAAGAAATACAAATGGTAGTGGGATTAAAGAAAATAATTTTAATGAACTAATTAAATACGGGCAAAACGATAACTAATAATAATAATGGAGTTAAGCGTGACAGGCAGACCTTTACACGGTCTGCCCTGCAAGTCGCAAACAATTTTGATCTCACCCTTTGATGTTACGACATTTTCGCCTACTCACCTAATATTGTTTAACTTATTTGATCGAAACTAACTAAAGTACTGGGAGGGTGGGGATTTAGATCGGGATTTACAACTGCATTGTTAACAATATATCCTATCAGCTCGACCTGTACGCGGTTCCCCATAGAAACCATCGTGATTGATTAATTGTTGGATTCGTCACGATGCGCTTCATCCTCACCTATCATCCCCCACTGGTGTCCCGCCTGCATATACCATTAGCTCAGGTGGGGTTGCTACTCCATTATCATCCATTAAAAAAAAGCTGGTCAAGTGCGAGTCGGATTCGCGCAACGAAGGTTCCGTAAAAAATTATCAAGTTACATTTTTTTCTGAAATAACTACAAATGGTTACGGTTTTCGGATTCCCTTACTTGTGCTACTTGGCAATGCTTCTTGTCAAATCTCATGATTCTAGGTAAACGGGAAGTACCCTATAGGTTTTGATTCCCTTTGCCAATGTCAAAATATACAATATAAATGGAACATAAACGGCCGTATCTTTTGATTGCGTCAATTTAGAAACTTGATTTTTTCACTGCTTTAAGAGATTGCAAACCTCAGTATATGATATTAACTTCAACTTGAAGTTCCTAAGAAAAAGGATCCTGACAGACGGACGGACGGGCAACGAAGTGTTCCTATAAGGGTTCCGTTTCTTCCTTTGGAGGCACGGAACCCTAAAAAGTACCAGTTCTATCGACATTGATTACATCATCATAGGATACAAAACGTGTTATCGACTCAAGCGTTCAGTTTAAACAATAAAAAGCTTAAAGACTATCGCAAAAGGTTTTTTTTTTGTGTCCAGTTCATAATAAAACCACTGTGGAATGAGTCGAACGAGGAAAACTGTTTATGAATACGACCTATAAATAATTGTGAATCTCCGACCTACTGTTCGTTGCAAGAAGTATTTATCGTGGATTATTAAAAATAAATATGTTTGCGTGATGATACCAGTTAAGGTTTTTTTTTTATCATCATCAAACAGCTATTGTTGCAATCAATGATTTTTCCTGTATTTGTAAGATGCAGGGAATAACAATTATTTTTAATAATCCATTACCTTCATATCAGCGGTTGAATGTCCACCGCTGAATATAGACTTATCAATAAAGGGAGGTTTTGCTAGTAGCTGCCACGTTTGGCAGGCGGGGTAGCAGATATATATATATCAGAGGGAGATTTTGTACAAAAGTCGATTGCTTGGGTACCTCTGTCCCATTCGTGTTTCAACCGTGAAGCAGTTGTGTTTGCATGGCTGTGTTTCGGTTTGAATGTAGGATATGGCGTGAATTTACTGGGTACAGAGGAATAACACCTGAGTCCTCAGGAATGGCAACGCATGGGGGGTATCATGGGCGAAACAGTATACTCTGTTATGTCCATGGTACTGTTCATGTCTATAGGCGACGGTTACCACTTTCCATCAGGTGGGCCGTCAGCTTGTTTGCCATTCTAAGTCGTATAAAAAAAGGAGTCGCAGTTGGCCTTTCGTGATTTTTTAGAGGGACGCTACTACCTATCCGATAGATAGATAGATAAACACTTTATTGGAGCCATTTATGACACACGTAAATTAACAAATAAGTTTATACAATCAGATTATTTACACCTTTTTAAATATAAAACAATAGATAAAGTATGGAAACATGTTTTCACCAAGTGTGTCGCAGTGACCCAAATAGGCTACAGCTCAGTGATAGTTTTGCTTAAAAGCAAATCTCTCTCTCTCTTATCTGTCGGTTGTTAAATTCCCTTAGTCGCCTCTTATGGCAGCCACGGGAAAGGAAAGGGTTTCTCTGTATTGCCAAGATTTTAATATTATTTAAAAATACTTATGTTTTTAACGTTACTGAATTTATAATAACAAAGAATATCAGCAATTTAAAATATATATATATATATATATATATATATATATATATATATATATATATATATATATATATATATATATATATATATATATATATATATATATATATATATATAAATATAGAATCTTAGCTTTACTAGCTTTTACCTACGACTGCGCCCGCGTGTCCGGGATATGATTACTGTCTATGATCGAAAATGACCTATATCGTTCTCCATAAGGTGTAGTACGTATATAACAAATTTCATAGTGATTGGTTAAGTCATTAAGGCGCTATAGGATAACAAACAAACAAACTCACTGTCACATTTATAATATTAGTAAGGACTATTTAAAAACTGTAATTGTTTTTTTTTTTTTATATATTTGAGGTAATAATATCTATTTTTTTTTATACACGTGATCAATTTTAAAAAGAAAAATCGCGCAAAAATAATATACCACAAACAATGGAACTACTTAGACGTACTTGCATTTTGAAATTGCATTACTTGCATGTAATTGTTCTAAATATTTGAACATTATATGCAGTCACCTGCAAGAATGCGACAGTTTCATCAAAAACGGTATATGAGTTTAATCCAATATGAAATTACTAGTTTTTACCCGCGATTTCTTCTGTACGACCAGTATATAGTGATCGATTGAGTTAAAAATATAGCTTAACTTCTTCCCTATTCCAAATACTATGCATGTGATTAATTTCATACCAATTAGTTAAGCCTTTAAGGCGTCGATAGATAACAAATAAACGAACAAACAATAACACTTTCACATCTATATAAATGGAAATTAGTCCTTAAATGTGTTGCAAAATGCAAAACTCGAAACTCGGGAACAGATATACATATAAGGATAGATCGATTCGGCAATTTCTTTACAAATATTCGGTGAAGTTCTAAGTAGGTATTTACGTCTTTCATATATTTTTTTAGAGATGCGAACTGAGTCAACTTGACAATCGAAATCGCTCGATTACTCGTAACTTCCCGATACTTAAAAACGAAAAATCATGCGACGAAAACGTCTCGACATTTATTTTTTTTTTCTAAAATAAATGAATATGGTTTTACATAATGCACAAGCACAATCACTGTTAACACGTCACGTTTATTTTATAGCGGTAAGTAGGTGTTACAGTATGAGGAGCAAGCAGTGAGGCGGTGTGACGCGCGCGGCCGACCAGCATGCAAAGTTTTGTCGCACTAGAGCGCGGAGCGACCGGCGGCGGCACTAGTTCAGGTAACACTAGCTCGCGTTCGTTGGTGATCTTAGAAGGCTGCACCAACGTCCCCAAGCTTTTACTTAAACTTAATAAGTTTTAACCAAACTGTTTTTAATATAAAGTGAGACATTTTATCAATCTTCGATTGGATCAGAGCTCATATGTGACTCGCCCAAACTGGATGGAATAGTAATGGTGGAACTATATGACACTGGGTGGTTTTATTTATGAAACTAAACAACTTTTTTTTTTCAAGGAACATGATTTTGAATAAATTATAAAAAAAGCATTTGGCGTTCCATTGTTTCTGCCTACCCTAATGGGAGACAGGCGTAACAGATATTTATGTATGTATGTATAAAAAAAAATACATTCTTTTCCAGTATGAAAGTACTAAGTCCAGTTAAATTCTTACTACAATATTTACAATTTCCAGCAGCAGTATTTCCGAACCGATACGATAACATAACCTTCAAGAAAAGAGCATATTCTTTTTTAAAAGGCCGGCAGCACACCTGCAATGCCGCTGGTGTTGTGGGTGATCATGGGCGGCGATAGTCACTTACCATCAGGTGAGCCGCATGCTCGTTTGCCCCCCGTGTTGTAAAAAAAATAAAAAAAACTCTCTTTATAAAACCATATCAGCCGTCCACTGCTAAAGATAGGCCTTGCCTTGTTGAGAGGTCTGTCAGTAGTTGCCACGCTTGTCAACCCTCCTGTTGACAGCCATAGGTAGGATTTAGTAATATTTCAAGAAGGACGCTGCAGCTCATCCCTCGATAAGTTTCCTTAGTTGCCTCTTACAATACCCACGGAAAAGGAAGGGGTGGGAACGGCCCATTCTATGCTGAAACCACGCGGCATCCTTTCATATATGCTTGTAAATATTGTGGTAATATTTATATATATACCAACAAGTTTAATGAAAAATACATAGATTTAAACTTCTAGTGACATAGTAGATCTCCGGTACAAAAAAAAATTTGTTATTGTCTTTGCATACACATCTACATAACTCGTGTGGCTATTGCAGCAAAATTATAAGTTTAACTTACTGGACATTAGTCAAAAGCGATTTAACTGAATCGTTTAGCTAATCCATATTTTTCAGTGTATGAAACCTAGATATAAAACCCATCCTTTTCTCCGTGTCTTCTTACTTGATAGAGTGACGGGACGACTTAAGTAATCACGCTAGCTCACAAGACATTTTATCCAGGAGATATTATCCCGTGGTGTAATTTTATATCAAAATTCGTGTAAAGTTGCTTCAACAAATGATAATTGCAACGTGTCCAAGTCTCGTTCGCTATTTCTGTTACATCGTCAGCCCAATGTTTAAATTATTTCTCGACTATCCTCCGGCAATTTTTAACTCACCGATCCGTGATCTTACAGCTCCAACGTCCATCATCCCGTCTGCTAACACAGCCTCAAGCCATAACCTTCACTTAAGAAAAGCATTGAGCAAATGTAGATTTAGCACATAGTTTACTCCGTACAATTTTATTATCACCTAAGGCTATGTGTCCGTGGAACCACCCAATAAATACCAGTTATGTAAGTATATAGTTTAATAACTTCATCTACCGTTAATGAGGGTTTTATAATAGTACATTACTGCAGCGGACAGCAACTAAGGCATTGATGGACGAACGTACAAATGTGGGCCGAGGCAGACATACGTGAGTCCATCAATGCCTAGTTGCGGCTAAGGCTTGTATAGTACTTTTCACAAACAATACGCGGAAATCAAAAACACAATTTTACTTTTTAAGTTCAATGACGAATAACGAACAATAATAATTTTTCACGCGTCATAATGTTCCTTTGTTTTTCAATAAACACCTTTCTATTTGCAAACCAGTTTGAAATTTAAATAAAACCATTTATTAGTTACCTCCTTGGTAGCCATGTTTCAAAGTAAAATGTCATTCCATTTTTAAATTACAGGACAGATATGTGTTTACATACTAATTTATCTGGCCGCAAAATACGACAGATATCGATTTTCATACACCTTTTTTCTGGCCAGTACGGCGATTTTGATTTATCTCGACGAAGACTGTCAAAATAATGCCCACATTTCCAAACATGTTTGAGAAAAAAATATTAATCAATATAATATGAGACCAACGCGGGGATTTGGAAGTGAGTGGAAAAATGAAAAACAATTTGTTAATTGAAAAAGAATTATCGGAATAAGTTAAGAATTATCAAATATATCGCGTAATATACATAAATATAAAAGTAAGAAATTAAGAACTTCGTCCTTTTGGAAGTCGTTTAAAATGTCATGAAATGTAATACTGTAATAATGTACGACTGTAAATTCACTTTTAGACAGTTCGCGAACGCGAGGCTTCCACAATTAACCGCAAAATAAAGTCACCACGTAAAAATGTCAAATATAAACGTCAATATCATACTTATAAAATAAAACATTAAATTGACGATTTTTTAAATTTTTTTTTATGTAACTTAGAATGGCAAATAAGCTAACGGTCCGCCTAATGGAAAGTGGTAACCGTCGCCTATAGACATGAGCAGTACCATGGACATAACAGAGTATACTGTTTTGCCCATGATACCCGCCACATCTGTACATTATATATATTTAGTTTTATTATTCTGTATATATTTAATATAAATAGATATGAGAGATCTTAATATATTCATATTAAGATGTAGAAGCCAAAATAATAACATTCAGAAATTTTGTTAATCCGCCTGACTGTTTACACATTTGTTTTTTTTTTATACCACTGAGGTGGCAAACAAGCATACGGCCCACCTGATGGTAAGTGGTTACTGTAGCCTTTGAACACCTGCAATACCAGAGGTATTAAGCGTGCGTTGCCGACCCTGAAGAAACCTCTTTACCCCCCTTTTGAAGAATCCCATGCTGTAGTCTCTTGGGAAAACCTCGGCAGGGAGCTCATTCCACAACCTGAGTGTTCGTGGAAGGAAACATCTTTGAAACCGCGCAGTACGCGACCAGAGAGGCCGTAGGACATGAGGATGAACTCCCTGTCGATGGCGAGCCGTACGATTGTAGAAAGTGGCTGTGGGCATCATATTGAACAATTCCTCTGAGCATAATACATTGTACAGGCGATAGAACACGCAGAGTGAGGCAAAATTTCTCTTAAGACTTAAGGGTTCGATACCGCTTGTGAGCCGATCATCGACAATTCTCATAGCTCGTCGTTGCAACGAGTCGAAAGGTTCAAGCTGGTATTTAGGTGCTCCGGTCCATAAGTGACAACAATACACCATGTGGGGCCGGATTTGCGATTTGTAGACATCACACAATAACTACTGAATTTTTAAAGCCTAACTTAAAAACTGATGTATAGATAGATAGATACTCTCTATTGTGTCCTCCATAAAATTACAACAGTAAACTTATTATAAATACAAACAATTACAAGAAATAATCAAGAAATATAATATATCACAGTGAGAAAACAATGGGCGACCTTATCGCTAAAAACGATTTCTTTCTAGCAACCTTTGGATGGAGAGGAGTAATTATAAACAGTATAGAGGAGTAATTATATTTATATATGTTAATATTTCATCTGGAATTGAGTCATCTCATTAATTTTCCTAATTCTAATACCTCACGAGTACAATAACGAACGAAAAAATATAAACAAAAGCATCCCCTTCCTTTCCCGTGGGTGGCGTAAATGGTGACTAAGGGGACTAAATTGTCGAGGGATGGGCAGCAAGGATTCTGTTAACACATTACCAAAAGCTAACTATAGTTGCCAATCCGCTTGCTAAACGTGGCAACTACTGGCAACCCTCCCTTATGGGGGAGGCATATGTCCAGCAGTGGACAATTCGTTAATTGTCCATTGATATAATAAATAATAAAACAAAAGCGAGGTGAAGGGATCCTTATAACGAGTAATGGAGACCTGTTTCGGTACTCCCTGGAATCGTGACTTCTGATGAATTACCACCTTTCGCTGGTACCCAGCGTAAACAAACAGTGCAGGCGGGGATATATTTACATTTCCATATAATAAAAATAAACAAAACATAATCCACCTTGCTTTCGCAGTTGGATAAAAATGAAAAGTTGTAATTATGTAAAACACTTGAATTCTTAAGTGGCCGAAGCAGTATTACAAAATGTTTATACAACTGACGACTTTATCGGCTTCGCAATAAGGGCGACGCTGTGGCGCTGATCAGTTATTGCACCTGCCAATACCACTTGTGCCAGTTCAAAAACCTGACGGTGTGCACGCACATAAAGTGAACACTTCCGAGGTACATCTCAACATGTATGTATGTAGGAGGGATCCGTAACAATTTCCAAAGAAATAAGTCTATATGGTTACATTTTGACGACAATAGTAGCTTAATACACCACTCTGCCTTCCGATGGTCGCGAGTTCGATCCCCGTGAAAGAAAGAAATAATTTATTGCTTAATTTTACACATAATTACAAAAATATTTTACAATAAACAAAATTGATACAAACCCATATGTTTGTAATACAAACATTTGTATGTCTTTTTGTATTGGTCTTTTGTGTATCAAATGTTAGTTGCCTAGTATCCATAATACAAGCTCTGTTTTGTTTGGGAATAGATCGTTATCATCATGTCAGCCCTAAACAGTCCACTGCTGAATATAAGCTTCCCCTTTAGGGGGGTTTGCCAATAGTTGCCCCGCTTGGCAAGTGAATTGACAACCGCAGTCAGGCTTTAGAGATGTTTTATGAGGGACGCTGCTACCATCCCTCGCCCTCCTTTATGTCTCTTACGACACCCACGGGAAAGGAAGGGGTGACCCATTCTATGCCGGGACCACATGGCCATTAGAAAATAGATATTTTAATATATTTATTTTATAAGCGAATTCCAAAAGGAGGAAATTCTCAATTCGTTCCTAAATTCGTCATGTGCGTGAACACCTCTGTCCTTTTACATAGTTTCACGTGAAGTAAGTTTAATAAGTAGATTTTACAAAAATAAACAGTAACTTATATCGTGACCAAATTTATACGGCATTAGCGCGAACATAAACCGTATAGATTGCAAAAAGAATTATTAAAATCGGTGCAGAACTGGCGAAGTTATCGCGTAATACACATACATATAAATAACATAAGCGAATTAACAACCTCGTCCTTTTTTTAATTGAAGTTACTTAAATATAATGATTAGCATAAGCCAATTAGATAAAATGTTAAATTACTATGGAACATTGAATGGTTGCGATTTTTGTAAACACTTTTGTAATGTTGGCTAAACGAAAAGGTCAAGTGGGCGGCCACCACAACGGTCGCCTGTGGGCATAGACTACTTATCTGTACAGAGCATAAACTACATACGAGAGGTCAGCTGTGGATTCCAAAATTAAATGAATAAATGTATTATCTAATAATATAATCACACA